AACATAGATCCAAGGTATTTAGGGTTGCATGTACACTTAGGAGTGTTAGAATGCTCAAAACTCATCAACAACACTGAGCAAATCTTTAGCCCTAATCTAGCATGCAATTCTCATATACTCACATCAAACATCAATCATATAAAGCGCATGGGTATTTTGGGTAATACTTACTTGAACTAGGCTGAATGCACACATCACACCCCTTTTTATTTTAAAAACTTTCTTAGAAAATCAATTTTTTTTAGAAAATTTTGTCAAATCCTCAGTTTGAGTTCAAGCACACCCGAGAGTATGCCTGAATCCCTCAAGCCAAGGCTCCGATACCAACTTGTAACGCCCCAAATTTCAACCCAAAAATTTCAATTAAAACTCTAAGTGTTTATTCAAATCACAACTACAACATCTTAAAATATTTATCAGAATATCATTTAAAAGTTATCATGTACATAAGTCCCCTATTGATGCGATGCAATCGAGCCGTGCCCCTCGTGAAACATGTAAACCACAAATCGTAAGCAAAAAAGCTTAGTGAGTTCCCCAAAATACCACACACAACACAACACAAATAGACAATTATGACTTATCAACAACCCTGGGGACTATCAGTAGTCCCAGTGGGCTAACAGCACGCCCGATGGGTTATCAGCAACCTTGGAGACTATCAGAAGTCTCAGTCAGCATAACACAATAATAACAGCTAGACCCAGCTCGTCATCACAGATACAACTATTCTACCATACAGGCTCATTCAAACTTGCAAGAGTCACAAATATAGCTAGCATCCTACATACATAATTTAGTGAGCCGACATTGGTGCCTTCGACTCATGAGCACCGGGAGAAGACTCGCCTGCTACTGACGACCAGTAAATCTCAAACCCGAACTGCTGGAACTAGACCCCGTCTGGTCAACGAAACAATTAACCCTAATTAATGATTAAGGTCCAAAACTCAACTCAAGAATCCAAATTCCACAACTAAGTCCTTTAAGGGCAAAAAGACCATTTTTCCCTTCTCATGGCCCAAAACCCTAAATCTTGACCAAAAGTCAAAACTCAAAGAAAGTCAATTGCCCAGCGCGTACGCTGGGCGTACTTCTCCTTGCGCGGGGCGTACTACTCGAACAACGGCCAAATCGTGGGCGGACCCGACTACGCGGGGCGTAGCCAGGAGGACGCCTGGCGTACTCTGCTGGTTCACTTTTCCACCAACTTTGTGTCTTAATCCCTTAACACATCTAAGCCAATTTCAGATCTGACCATCCTAAGGTGTCTTAATCCATTAAGTCATCGACTTTAAGCCTTTGCATGACTAGGAAGGACCCAATGCAACAAACTTTAACTTCCAACACACTCTAAGCTACTCTACTCTTGCATGAGCCATATGGAGTGATTAAGCAACCATTTTTATGAATCTACAAGTCCTATAATTCATGAAAGGACAACTAAAAGTCCCTGGAGTGCTCCAAACTCATAAAGGACCAATCTTGGGGACAAAAGCTCATAAAACTTCAACCATGTAGATCAAATAGAAAACTCATCAAGGTATAAACTTTATACCTAAAAAAGATGCATAAAGAGGAAACGTTGCTGGATCTACAAGCTTACTAGAAACCACTCCTTCCTCTCTAGTCTCCTTCTACAACAATATACACCAAAATCACTCAACAAGCTCACAAAACTCACACAAGCAACTTAGACTCGAAATTAGGGTATATGATGAGGAAATGGTGGCTGATAATGATGGTCCAAAGGGATATAAGATTGTTTAAATAGGGAGCAACCCTTAAAATTAGGGTTTGGAGTCTAGGCTCGTACGCCATGCGTACCAAGCGTACGCCCAACGTACTATCATGGCACTCCCCGATCCATTCCTCTCACATGTACATTGCACGTACCTACTCGTACGCCCAACATGCGGGCTGACCTTGAAATCCTCAAAAACATTGAGGGACTAAATGTGTAAACCTTGAATAGACCAAGGATTTAAAATGAGAATACCTGAAAATCGGATGTTACACCTTGAAATACGGAACTTTCGACAACTCAACAAAAGTTTGTTGAAGTTACATAGGTAAATAATGGTGTATGATATGCAACATTGTTGCATGTTAAAATTGCTATACGAAGTTGATGTTTGAAAAATCTTCTATATGAAATTGTTGTATGCAATTTTGCTATATCCCCAATCTCCTATACGAAAATTCTAGAAACATTTATAAGTTTTCTGTAACTGCAAATAACTTCCGTAAACTGTATTTTTCATCATCCATATCTATTTTATGGATTTTGTGAGTATAAATAGAGGTTATACTAGAGTTTTTTTAGACTAACAAATTTCATAACAACTCACAATACTATTTTGGTTTTTTCTTTCATTTTTGTGATCGAAAATCAAAGTGTTCTTTGATTATTTTATCCTGTGAAGAGTCTCATTTTTTTATCTACAACACCTTCTCAAATTACCGCAACATGGAAGACAACACTCTTTGATATTGTCAGATATACTAGGGATGTGATCAGTCCTAGAACCGAACATAACCGAACCAAGAACCGAAAAACCGAAAACTAAAAATAAGAAAATATGGGAACCATGGAAAATACCGGTTCCAACACCACAAAGAACTTAACTTCTAAACTACATTGTTGTTTTTCGCATTTTGAGGTGACATTTTTACATTATCTAGTGATTTTTAATTTACCATTACAATGAGATAAACTAAAAACATTGGTTAGAAAAAACCAACGGCCTTAACAAACCATGTTTAGTGGTGTGTAACTAAACTGTTTCTTAACTAATTTAACTATTTTGAGCATAAATTGTAGCCAAGACAAAGGGCTACAACCTAGAAAAAAAATCGTTTCATTTCATGCTCATATGGAGTTATGATGATTCAAAGTTTGGCAAAAATTACAAATATTGATGAGAAAAAACATACAGCCCTAATAATCCATGTTTAAAGTTGTGTAACTTAGTTATTTCTTAACCAATTCAACTTCAATTGTAGCCAAAATAGAGGGCTACAACCTAGGTAAAAAAATTAGTTCATTCTAAAGGAGTTATGCCCATTCAAAGTTGGGCAAAAATTATAAACAATGCTTGAAAGAAAAATATTCAACTCTAATATCCCATGTTTAGAGCTATGTGACATATATTTCTTTACCATTTTAAGTGTTTTTTGAGCCTAAATTATAGCCAAAACAGAGGGCTACAACCTGGGGAAAAAATCAGCTGATTCCGAGCTCGTATGAAAAAGTTATGACTATTCAAAGTTGGACAAAAATTATAAACATTGCTGAGAATTAAACCGATTTGCCCTTAATGGTTCCAAAACCGACAAACCTGAGAACCACGAACTGAAAGCCCGGAAATTGGGAATTATTGGAACCAAAAACCGAACCAAATGACCAATTCGGTTTCGGTTTTGTTCGTTTTTTCCCTCATCCCTAACCGATACACCATGTCAAAACGTGATACACCGTGTCAAAACACGTTTTCTGAAAAGAAATGCAAAAGGCTGAATCAAGCCTTGTTAAAAAAAATCGCTTTTTCAAACAATTTGCCTACGTTGTTCTTTCATCTATACTCCCAATTTTTTATTGTTGGTTTTTGCATTTTTGGTCCCTAGCTAATTTTCTCGCAAGTTGATTTCAGTGATTCTGCATTTTTTTTGTTGGTCGTCTTGTCGATCGTTTAAAATGGACCACACATATGACAGTATATTATTGAGTTTATCAAATACAAAACTTGTTACAAATTGGGTTAAATCATAACATGGGATAAGAAAATGGAGCCCGATCATCTTTATCTTGCATCTTAAAATATGATATTGTGCCATGTGCATATACTAATCCAACTTATTTATTGTTGATATTAGTTTATTTAAAAAAAAGTTTAATATAAAAGTTTAAATATTTAAGAAATTTGAATTTATAAGAAAAAAAAATATTAAATTATTAAAATTTAAGTGTTTTTTTCTATTAAATTTAAACAAATAAATTAGATAAATAAGCAAAAGAAAATTAATGGGCCTTTAATTTAGAAATTTTGAAATTAGAAGGTAAATCCATTAATAAATTTGATATTCATTTATTATTACATTTATTGTAATTTATTGCATTTAAATATTATATGGAATTTAATAAATTGGAAAAAACTAAAAAATGACATATGGATAAAAATTATTTTAAAATAACTACAAAATGACATATGCCAAAATAAATGAAAGTATGACATATAACAAAAACATCTTTATTTTTTAAAATAGATTTCTTTGTCCCATATACAGATAAAATGCTTAATA